TTAAATATCTATCTTCATGTGGCTGGCAGCATTTATTTGGGCTAAATCTGATCAGGAATGCATAGAAAAGACGGCGCAGTTCCGCTACGTGGGGGCACCAAATGGTACCCAGCGATGCTAGTTCAGGCCAGTTTGTGGAGACCCGTGAAATCCTGTGACCAAAGTGGCTCACTTGTGGGTTTCCACAGCTACACAGGTTTATAGGATCCTACGTCAGCTATGTGGCATGAGTTAGCACAAGGAACTAGCGAACGTAAAAATCCCCCTCCCAAGCCGAACGTGGCCGAAAAGATTATAAACTTTGCATCAAAATATGGGACACAGGACACGCTTCAAGAATGAACGGAACTGTGAATCAGTTGAGTTGACGAAGGAGCTGAGCTCACCCAAGCTGTCAAAGCTGCAGGAAAATAACAGATCGTTAGGATGCTGAGTCTTCGAATTGGCAAGGGCGAAAGCACCTAGCTCTGGTGTCGAACTTACAGTGTTCGAGCCAATGCTCCTATCTTTCCTTGCGAGTTTGGCAATGGTCTTTCCATTCAAAAGGCAACACCGGCATGAGGTCAAAACGATGTTAGACTGATTTTGGCAGAGCGTGACCATATCAGCGAAGATCGCGAGGCGTGGACGGTATATCATTTGAGCGCTCTAAGGATGCCTGAAATGTTTCAGTTCGAGGCAACACTAATCCTGTATTGTGCGCGACAAAGGCATAATCACAAATGTCTCAGTATAGCACCAAAAGCACAGCCGCAGCCATCTCCGAATAAAGTACACTGCCACGCCCATTATATCTCTCTGGTATGAATTTTATATTTATTTGACCGACTTATGTGCAGCGTATTCTTTCGTCGCTCCAGGCGATCATAGTTTGTCATCAGTTAAGGCGTCCTGACCTGGCGAAGTACATGGGCATATCGCTTTTGCTTTCCTTTCCTTCATTTGCAAGTCGGCGCAGTTTTCACCAAAACTTTGCTATCAGAGCGAGAGACAGAGAGGCGTATTCAGCAGGATTTCTAACAATAACACCACAGGGAGACGTGAACCTTGTACTGCTTTTGTGCTGAATAGCACCTGCTGCTTTCAGCGCTAAATTGCCCTTGCTAGGTCAGAGTGCTATGTATTATTATTATTATTATTTATTATTATTATTATTATTATTATTATTATTATTATTATTATTATTATTATTATTATTATTATTATTATTATTATTATTATTATTATTATTATTATTATTATTATTATTATTATTATTATTATTATTATTATTATTATTATTATCCTTGAGGCGGAGGTGGTGATAAGTGACAAAGGCGCGCTTACCACTCGCGCGGCGCCGGGTTCAATCCTGGTAGATCCGCCAGGGCCAACAAGCCTTTCCCTCCGGGGACGGTAAATTACCAGATTCGTCTGGGAGATAAAACACTGACTTGTACATCGGCTGGGCCACCGCAAGTCATTGTATAGGCCCATCGCATTTCAATAACCCATACGATTCTGCATGGAAGTAGAATGCGTGCCGCATCCCACAAGGGTTGATCGGCGAAGACTTTATCCTTTTTTATCCTTTATTATCAGGTGAGCATGTAGTGGCAAGTTGGGCGCCGTTCACGTAGCTCGCCTTTTCGGTATTCAAAAGTCAAACTCGGGCATAAGTTCTTGTTATGACTCAGCGAAACGTCCATCGCTGGGGGCCGTAAAAGATCAAAATCAGGTTAAGAAGGACACTCATAACCAGTTTGGCCTCGCAAGATCACTCAAAATCAGCCGTCCATTTATCAATCGCCTTCAAAAGCTCCATAAGTTCCGTAGCGGAAGCCACATATCTCCGGGTGGTTGGGTTTGACGGCGCGTCAGCCCGTCTTTCACCAGTTCTGGACGCCTCCCAGCTTCCACAGTTGTTGAGAAACGAGTTGGAGCCGCGCCAAACCCAACCTCCCTGACACGCCCAGCATTCGCAGCCAAGAAGCCTGCAGGATGCGGTCTATTCGTTACCCTCCAATATTGCCATTGGTATTTAAGACACCTGTATATTTATTTATAAATTACCTCAGTCATTACCTTTTTGTTATTGTTGTTACTAGGTAGGATTTTGAGCAAAGTCTTTGTGATGCCTTTACGCCATATCCCTGTGACCTTCCAATCGGTTCCACGACTCCGAGTGGTCTTCGGCCTCACGGCGCAACCCGTGATCATTGATCATTCCCTCAGGCACCTTCCAAAATTGGGCTTACGCTGAAGCTAGCATATTGCCGTTCTACGAGCGTGACAAAACATTCCCCAGGCAATCATGGGGTAATTTTTCCGGATTTTTTGTTCACAGTAATCGAATTTATTCCATTTCCTATGTATGAAAAGCTTTCGCCCAAATGATGCAGAGGACAATCGGCTCATTAATTTCATTATTAGGGCCCGTATGTGCCACCAACCAGTGCTGTTCCCATTCCACAGCTGCATTCACAGTTCTGTGAGCAGCCAGTAAATAAAGCAGTAGGGCCACGTTCAGTTGCCGATGATGGTCGGAATGGCCAGTCCGTTGCTCTTTTAGTATGTCCTTTTCATTTGGTTTTCAGCCTGTTTTAGCATCGATCTCTCGGCCAATGGATGAAGTGCTTCTCGGGCTCCCATTGTCAGTAATGAATTAGTTTCGCGGCTTAGATTCGAGGAAAATGGCAATTGAAAGAAGGCGAGGCATTGATGAGCTCCGAAAAAGAAAAACGACCCCCATTCCGTCCATTTCACTCCTTTTCGTGTCTTTCTGTACTCTTTTTCTTCTCTTTTCCACTGCTTTTAATTCCAAAGCATCTGTTGAATGGTCCGTATTGATTTCGTTGCCACCCTTGACGCGTTCTGTGGACTTTATGTGCCCTTCGAGCGTGTCTGTTTGCTTGAATCGTTAATTAGTCTTTGGAAAGCACTTGCATTGAACGCCCATACGACTTCATCTAACAAGTCGAAGGCATGGCGTATCCTGGAAAGCTACGTCTCCTTTTCTTTTCAAGGGTCAGAATATTTTAGAGTTTTGGCCGCCTAATGAAAACTTCCGCGGGGGGGGGAACTTTGCTCTAAATGTGGATTTGATTTCGAGGAGGGAGCAATGATTCAGGAGTGCACACTAAAGGGAATAGAGTTATGCTCCAGAAGCTAAGAATTGCTTCGTTCTTACGGGGTTTTTTTGCGAACAGCCTAATGGCAACAAAGCTGAAAGGGTATGCTGCGCCGTACGTGAGACGTATGGATAGAGCCTCCTCAGTCGCAGTAAACAGAGGGTAAGTCGAGTGGAACCCTTAGGGCGTTTCTTACATTTATAATTGGTATCGGGCTCCGAGAGCGGATGAGCAAGACAACAACGTATAGCTTCTGAGATGCTGCCGTCATCATCTTCGGTTCTTATTTTGCAGCACCTCCAATGTTAATCCGCATCAGGAAATTGCGTTTTACTTGTATTCCAAAGCGCAATTTACAGGATTTGGCAAGGTGCCAAGGAGCCGCAACGCCCGAGCGGCCGTTACGACGAGTGTTACTGAACGGGAATCTGCGCCGCAAGAGGGTATAAGGCGGAGCGTGGACAAATTAGCGTGTTTCACGGTCCTGTATCTCCATTCCTGCGCATGTTAGGACGGGGCGCTAAATGATAGCTGGGGGTGATAGTCACGCACGGGGGTGAATAGTCCACGCACTAAATGTGTGATCGTACTCATGGATCTTTAGCTGCTAGAAAGTCTTCACAAGGCAAATTAGCCGAACTCTTTCCTATCTGGTTTTTACACTCCCCATTTATTTACCGCGTACCGTCACCTCTTCGAAAAGTTTAACCTCATTTAAAACTGTCTCTTGTCGACGGCGTTATACTCTCATCGAGTGTCAAAATTTTGGAAGATTCGGACCTCCAGGTTATCGCGAGATTGGTATGCCACGCGCAACAGTCTACCTTAGACGTGCGCTGCGAGCCACCTGAGACGTAGAATGACCTGGTGGCTCAAAGATAGCGCCATCCGCCCCGGGTTCGACTCCGCTTGGGGTCTGGTTTTCGGGGCAGCATCACAAGGGCAGCAGGAGTCACAGACGCAGTTTGAAAGCCTCTGAATCTGTTCGAAGTGGGCCAGGCTACTAGGCTGCTTTGGAAAAAAAAGTGCAGGTGCTATTAGTGTTTGCGGCTCACAGAACTGCCCCCAGGGGCCGGACCTCCGATCACTTCGCCGGGCTTTGAATGACATTTGATTTCGATTTTGAAGTCTCAGGATTTGACAGTTCTGCTCGTTCCTCCACGTAAACGCCCTCTAGACATCATGCAGCGATCAATTTCTTGCGAATGCGCCATGAATCTTACTTACTTTCCTTACGGTAGCCTAACTATTAGAGGGTTCTAAGTTTGGAAATTGTAGAAGTACTCGAAAGGGAGGGGAGCAAGGAGGTTGGGAGCCTGCGTTTGCAATTTTTCAAAAAAGGACCGGTCCTACATAGATTTGATTTAAGCAGAGAATGATCACTGATTCTGGCACTGTTGGGCTTGGAGGGGCACTTCGCGTTTTTCTAGTTCCTGTTGTGGTTTCATGTTTCAGTCTCACTTTGGTCAGACACGTATACTCTTATGAATCACTGGAAATTGCAATGTGGCCGGGGCAAGTTTATCTGAGTGCCATTTAGTGCCCTCCCCGAATGTGGCAAAATAAATATAGTTTAAAGTCAAAAGTGTAAATGTCATAAAAGTGTAAGACGCGTTCGGCTTCGTGGGTGTAGCAAATGGTATTCGGCGAAGCATCTACGGGCCGCTTTGTGATGACCTGTAAATTCCTATAGTGTGATTCATTTGCAACATTTTGTAGCTTCACAAGGTTTGCTGGTTCTACCAGAGTGAGAATTTTAGTTAACATCAAATAGTTGAAATGTAAACTGCCCCTCCCTGCCAAGTCGAACAGCGGCTGGATAAAGATATTCATTTTTTTTCAGAAAATTGCTGCTCCTTGTCTGTTGCGAAACTGAAGTTGAGAACTTTGATGGACTTCATATTGTTCAAAACGGACCAGTCATATGTAAACTTGTTCGTAGGTGGAGAGGTGAGTCACATACCCAGTACTCTTTATTGATTAGTATTGATTGAACAGGGTCGGTGCTCCGGATTCGCCCTACAGAATTCACCTGAATCGCTTTCTGTAGTAGGGGTACGGTTGCGGTGACGCGATGAGTGGCATAGCGTGCGCGGCATTCGCACCAAGAAGCAAACTGATCTGTTGCGAAAATGCTACAGTGGCTCTGGTCAACTATCTAGCCGCGCGCGACGAGCTTGCTTCTGCATGTCGCTGCATCAGATCTCTTCCACCCCTCCCCCCTGCCTTCACGACAGATCATTTGCGCCTTTGCGTGATCCTGATGGTGCTCCTCTCCCTCTCCCATCTGACATGCCTTGTTGCGTACGTGCAACATTCTATTGATCCGGAAATGAACGTCTTTCAGGTATACCCCGTGCAGCTGAGAACGCTGCTCAATCCTGACACATGCGGCTCGTATTTCAAGGATAGAGTGATCCGAGCAGGAGAATCTGTAAAGGTGATAGCTATTTTCACAAATTTTTTAAGAGCTATGCAGCGAAGGTAAAATTGATATCGCCGCAATCAATCGGGGCGGTATCGAGATCCATGGAATGGCCACAACTACGGCGTTGTCGCCATTGATTCTTTTCGCCATGGATCGATCACGCTGGATCACCACTGGTAGGGCAGGGCAACGGAGTCGCACTCATTCCTCCCCCCTCTGGCACCTCCGCGACTGATTGCGACGATATTAGCTGAAACCATAGTGAGAGCAGATAAATGCTCTTTCAATTCCAGGTGCAATGCACGCAATGGGAAGGTTCACCAAACCACATCAAATATCGTATGGATATCGATCGAGATGGACTGCTTTTCAGAGAAGTGAGTGAAACTCACTCCAGTTTCAGAACCTGCTCTTGTTCTCCTCCTCTCTGTCCCCACATTTGAGAGATGGGCCTCGGTCAGTCCACGCTGATTGTATGGGCGGAGCTGGACCTAACATTGTACTTTCTTCCATGTAGCTTCCTCCTTCAAAAAGGAGGGAAGCGCAATCTAGTAAAGCATCAAGGTAGTCCTAACCCCGCCCATGTGGTCACTGTGGACGGTGCCTTTAGCACAATGACAAATGCCAGGTAAGGGTAAGGTAGTGGCAGTGACGTCTTTGCCGTACACTTTGATAAGGCAACCAATTCCGGTTTGACTCCCTTCGTGGTCACACGAACCTCGTTACTTTCAGCAGCGCTGCTCGGCATGGGAGGGGCAATTTGCACTTTCACAAGTTCCCTCTGCTACGAATAGGACTCACCAAGGTGCTTACTAACAGGGCTCACCAGAATGAAACCTGCGAACTTTCGTGAAGCACTGAAATGGTACAAGTAAGCCACCCAGCTGCAGAAATCTTCAGATCTTTCAAGGCCAGGGTTCATCGTTGTGTGAAACACATGGCGGGGGTCGTACTTTTCCGCTGGGGAGGCGGTCGCATTTGGTGGTTTTTGGGAAGAGGGGAGGTCTATATGGCTTGACAGGAACTAACGCGCATTGGGAAAAAATATTTTCCCGATTGTTGACTTTTGTGATTTTTCCTGTTTCATGGGTACTACATTCCCCCTGCACCGCTTTCAACCGATGGAAGATCTTTCGGTTGAAAAACTGGGAAATGTGGTAAATTGGTAGGTAGGTGTTAGGGAAGGGGGGGGGGGTAGTACCACCATTTCATACATCACTGCTGTACCCTGTTCAAGGTGTCCTATGCAGACTTTGCTGAATACCATTCGGTGCCCCACCGAGCCCAGCGGCGCCATTCAGGTTTGGATTATGTAGCTCGGCAAGCTCGCTCTACACCTTGGTTTTTGACTTCTGGTAGACTATGGCACACGGTCTCTAGTGGACAAGAGAGCTCGATTGCTAAGAAACCCAAGACCGGATCAAGTTCAGGTGGAGCCGTCCATAAATCATCACCCATGTGAGTATATCAGCATTGCAGAGAAACTGTCCCCGTTGAGCCTTCCTAATTGACGTGCCCCTCTTTTTCACCATCTCCTGGTCAAATGAAATAATACTGCATTGAGTAAGGCAGAACGGTTCATTGTCTCCGCCCATGCGATCAGCGTGGAATGGATCTTTAAAAAAGAGCTTGAATGAATGCTGTAGCTCCGACCAAGGAAAACTTTAAGTGTTCCTTCTTCCACGTCCCTCACAGCTTATTATGAAGGAGTCAAGCCATCTAAAAGCACGCGTGATATGGAAACTAAGCTATTCTATGAACCTACCCCTTGAAATTGCCTTTATTGTATTTTCTACTAACTGATTATTAATCATTGAAAATATAATCAAACCATATCATAATTTACGTTGAAAGTGTGCTACGATCTCGAGTAAAAGATGCGTGCAGCCACATCTGTAAGATTTAGACCCCATATCCCGGAACTGGAGAGGGTGTAATTGCGTAATTCATTTTAACGTGGCGGCGGCGCTCTCTGCTATTCGATATCGAAGCGTTTCGGGACAAATACTATCAAGCGATACTGTAGAACTAGATAGGATGACGGTTGTTAGTTTGAGGTTAATGAATCCCTAGAAAACCCATCCTACGCCGTGTTCAAATGGAATACGCAGTCACGCCCCTTCCATATCCGTGGTAAGGAATGTGGCTATACTGCAGCCAAGTGATATATCCTGTGTTTTTATAGGTACTACAATTTATTCGTAACGGACGACGTACCAGTATACCAGAGAACAGATTTCAACTACAACAATTAGTGGTAAGGCAGTAGTAACTTTTTCGAAAACTTTCTATTTCATAAGCATTGACTGAGGGGTCAGGAGATTCGAGTTGCGGCAGCACGCAAAAACTCGCGCGAACATTTGACCAGTCAACTCCTCCCAGTGTAGCATTTTCGCGTCAAATCAGGTATCATCTCGGATGTGGTGCACGCAACGTCACGTTAGGCAGCGTTCAGACTTCGCGACGGCAGCGCTTCGGTTGCTCAATGCAGTCGAAAGCATACGCATCAATCGCGCCAAACGCGCGACCGAGACGTCGCGAAGTCTGAACGCTGCCTTAGCCACACCTCAGCGATTTGGATTTCCTGACCCCATCTACTGGCAGTGATTAATGTCTTTTACAGTGTGAAGCCGAGTTTTTCGGCCTAGAGCTCTACCGGAAGATGCTTCGACGCCGTCTATGGAAACTTACTGGCAAAGCTACTTTCTACGCATGCTATTCGGATTCTGATTGAAGAAAGTGTTCTAATTGTTGTAGTCTCATGAACAACGTTACAGCTGCGACTTTTCTGGCAGCTGACCATATTAGGCGCTTGTTGCTCAGCACATAAGCGTCCGCTTTCGATGAAGCAACGCAGTTCTCAACCAAATTCTGTCTTATCTACATGAACCCCTTAGCGGCATCTAGGCAGAGTAGTTAGGGAGCGCACAAATCGGCGCGGATTAGATGCGAAAAATCAGCTAGCCTGCCCCTTCTCATCGATATAGTAACTGAGACAGTTTTGAGACGGTTCCACATACATATCCTGTAGGAAATCTTTTGCTAATACGGAAATGTCTATTTCGGCGAGAAGGGCAGACAAGCAAAGATGACGTAGCGATCTCGCGCCTGCTTGCCCACCACCCGCCAACTGAATTTACTTTTCCCGACGCTGTGTAAGCCCCCTAGCTACCGTTAGCGATTCCACTGTAGCAACCAGGCTTTACCCGCTTGTTCACCTTCGACTTGCAGAAGGGAATCCTGAAGCACATTGTACTTGTTCATAAACGTAATAGACTTCTGAGCGCAGTTCGGTGGCACAGAGGGGGGGGCGAGAGGGGCACTTATGCACTTCGTTGCTTCCTAGTTTTGGTTTACACAGTTTCGGCTCTGGTGAAAGCCTTGAACTTTGTGAAGCTGGAGCAGGGAGGTGGGGAAGGGTGTCGCAATTCGCCGGTCGCCGCGCGCGGCGATGGGCGCGGCGTCTTCTTAACTCTTGTTAACCTGCCGACTGGAGCACCAGACATTCATAACTATTTTCGTTCCGGAATTTCCTGTATCGGCCATCTACTACCTTGGAACTATCGTCAGTATGCGGTGGCGCGACGTCGCACGCGACGCCCACTAGCGCCAGGCGCTGAGATTATCGATTCCCTTGTCACATGCCCACTGGATGCAGCTACTTCGACCTAAAATTCAAAAAACTGCTCGGACTTATTGTGAAGTCATGAAATTAGTTCTTAAAGCGTGGCTCGACGAAGTTGGGTGGCGGAAGTAGCAAAGCGTGCAAAATTACCCCCCCCCCCCATCGTCGCACGAAACCGAGCCAGGCTTCTGTTACACTTCTTCTCCTCTGCGCGTCGTGAAGAGGCTGTCGCTTGAGGCTAGCGTTAGGTCAAACAAATGCCCGTGAAAATAACGGGCTGGCTAGTTGCCGCACCCACGTTAAGTTTCTCGACCATCTTTCTAAACAAGTAAGAGAAAATGGCTGGAACACGACTGTTGCCACTCCATACCACTTTACCCCTAACCCGTCCCATCATCCGCAGCGATCGGGACTGTAACTGCACCTTGCTTTGATCTGTGAATCTATTTTTAGGGTTGCATATTCGATTCAAATAACAGTGTTGCTTGAGAATTTGGATTAGGAGCTCGGTGTGCAGTATCCTTTTAGGTTATAAAGCCTTCTAGGCCAAACTTTCAGCGCTTATTGCTTGTATTTGGCAATCTTTTACACTTTGTCAACTTGATGTACTTTAAGTACTTTAAGTTATACTTTAAGTAAACCAGCTTTAGCTGGTGACATTTCTCTTTCTTCTTTGTACAGTTGCTATCCCTCTAAACGATAGGGCGTTTGAAGGGACGTGCATTGAAGCGCAGCCGAAGAAACCTCTTCCATCGGGCTCAGGATGGCATGAATTGGTCTAAAAGACCGCCCTGACCGCCCATTCCGCCCTCTCACAAGCCCTCTCGTTTCTAGGATAACACTCTGTATGTAGGAGAAAAATCACAATTGTGATCGTAGTCAATCCATTCATTCCGCCTTCTTTCTGATGATAAACGCCAAAGATCGATTCCGGTGATTTTATCTGATTCTCGAGATTGGTTCAACATGTTGTAATGCTTTGTAGAATTTGTTACGTTCTAGATGTCACGGTAAAAGTAGAGTATATAAATGTTTCCATTTCAGAATGAAAAATAAAAGTGCATCATCACATCAATACAAACTGTTGGCAAGAAGCTTGGATCTATCAGGAATCGAACCTAGTCCACACACGTACTGGGGCACATCGTTCATGGGGAATCCCCATTAGGGGGGGGGGGTTCGTATTTGGCCGCCAGGAGA